ACTCTTTGATGATTCATCGGTCTTGCATTGCACTCTGCGAGATTAGATACAGGACTGTGACATTTGAGTCCTGAACTGTAGTGAGCCCAAATGAACAGAACAGTACTTACATTCCCGGGACGTTTCGGGGACGTCTACAAAGACCTGCACTAAAACCTCGCCCCGCCACCGCTTGCAGCGTCACCCAGGTCTCCTGCTGACCAGAGGCCTTGTAGCAGGAGAAGAACTCCTCTATTGTCATCGTCGTCCCCCCGGTCGCCTGCGGCCACGCACTCGCGCACGCCATTACTATCTTCCAAGCGTTCGGCATCATTTGCCCTGGCGCCGCTTCTAGTCTATTTAGCACATCCACCATGACCTGAGGAAGGGGTAGCCTCAACACTCCTCGCAATGCTTCTTCATAGAGGCTAAACTCGCCCGGTCTCACATCCGATGCCCTTTCCGTGGTTGTGGGCATTCTTAGCCCTATGTCCGAGGGTATTCGGTACTTCTTCCTTATTCCCTCCAACTCTTCTACTGTCAACACGGACCTATCCGCCTTGGTGTGCCAATGGTCTGGTTCCACATGACTGATAGGCCTCGCGGCCGAGATTATCGTCCTGGGGTGAGCCCGCACCGCTTCACTTGCTCCCTCCCCCTCCCTACGCTCCGTTCGGTATTATTTTGCCAAATCAACCGCGTCATCTTCACCTAGTGGATCAATCCTTGCGGTTGTTGCTTCCTCTTGGGCCATCTCTCTTGTATGTCTGCGAAAAGATTCGGATGTGGGTGCAAGAAAATTCACAAAGTGTTGCAGGGGTGTATCGTTAGCAACGAAGGAGTTTACATTTGGAATGTTTTGATTTTTTGCAAAAAAATAGATAAAACAAATAACACCAAAAGCCCAAGGCTTGCCTGTATTCCAAGGGTCACAATTAATTTTCGTCAGTTTGAAAAATTTTCAAAATCCGCCAAAACAGTCTTTTCAACACCCTATAATGACCTATCGTTTCACTTCTTGCCCAACGCCTAACCTCCCCCACTACGAGATTCTGCCACGTGTATGACCACGATCCACTGCCCTTTTCCCTTTCCCTGTCTATTCCACTCACTTCAAACACGTGCCACGTCGCCTCTCGAGCCCCGCGCCATATCGGCCACCCTTCGCGGTCGACCCTCCTCATGGTCGGTCCCTCCGTTCGGCCACCCTTCACGGTTGGCCCTCCTCATGGACGGTCCCTCTTCTTGGTCACCCAGTCGTGGTCGGCCCTCCTCATGGTCGGTCCCTCCGCTTGGCCACCTTTCGCGGTCGGCCCTCCTCATGGACAGTCCCTCCGCTCGGTCACCTAGTCGCGGTCGGCCCTCCTCATGGTCGGTCCCTCCGCTTGGCCATCCTTCGCGGTCGGCCCTCCTCATGGTCGGTCCCTCCGCTCGGCCACCCTTTGCGGTTGGTCCTCTTCATGGTTGGTCCCTCCTCTCGGTCAGCTTTTACCCTGCCGGTCTCTCATAACCCTCGTTTTCTTCATTATTCCCTTCGTTAGGCTAAAGCTGCACTTGGGAATGGGAGACTACTGATATGGGTAAGCCCATAAAGATTATAGCCCACTATTTAGGGCCCAATACATAACTCAAATACTAAAGCGTAGCATTGCTGAAGCCCCACGTAGTAATAAGAACCAATGACAGCAAGACACATGGTAAGAGAAGGGCAAGCCACATAAGCAGACAAAGATCTGCAAAGTTATTGCCACTGCACATCGCCATTAATGAAGCCCCTTACAGTATTTATTGCGATAACCCCTCTCCGTCGAGACAGAACGCCTTCACCATGAACAAGGTAAGCTAAAGCATAGACTTTCAGCCAAGGTGACAGGTCGGAAGAGACAACGAAATGATTACCGGAGGATATAAGTAGACATCGAAGACAAGAAGAAGGTTAAGCATTTCTATCTCTAATTCATTTCTACATTCTGCTTCTCTCTCTAACTTGCTCGTTTGAGGGTTTGCTGGGGTACTCCCCGTTCCCCGTTGAACTCGTGTGCAGGTCTTCTAGTGGGCTTGATCACTTGGACACCGGTTTGAGAAGCGTGGATCAACCTGACCCCTTCCATTTGGAACCCGCTGTATCATCAGTTGGCGCCGTCTGTGGGAAAGGTTTTTGTTCCGTGCGCTAATTGTGCTCCTTGTCGCCGGAGACCCTCTCCCAATAACTCCCTCCTACCATCTGTGAAGGTGGATGGTCACAACTAGACCCATGGCTTCTTACCCCAATGTTCCCGATCATCAAGCCGATCCTTCCAATCCGAATAACCCACCACAGTATTTCACCGAGCTCACCAACAGCATTAACCGCTTGGCCGAGCAAAACCAAGCCCTGATTAATGCTCTACTCCAAAAAAACCTTCCTATACCTCCTCCACCACCTCCAGATATTCCACCCAACCAAGAATGAGCCCCGAGCCATACTATCCTGCAACCTAACCCACCCAACTTGGAAGGCTTGCGAGCTCCCCTCCCAGATATAAACCTGCCACCCTGGGCCCCGCATCCATCGGCCCCGGTACTAACCCCTGAGGGAGAGGCCAGTAGCGTCCAGCCTCCGCTTCCCTCCGGTGGTGACAACATTCCTTTCTAGGAACTTGCTGTATCATTCCAGATGGAACGGGTCGGGCTGATCCACGCTTCTCAAATCGGTGTCCAAGTGATCAAATCCACTAGAAGACCTACACATGAGTTCAACGGGGAACGGGGAGTCCCCCAGCGAACCCTCCGACGAGCAAGTTAGAGAGAGAAGCGGAATGTAGAGATGAATTAGAGATAGAAAAACTTAACCTTCTTCTTGTCTTCGACGTCTGCTTATATCCTCCGGTAATCATTTCGTTGTCCCTTCCGACCTGTCACCTTGGCTGAAAGTCTATGCTCTAGTTTACCTTGTTCATGGTAAAGGCGTTCTGTCTCGACGGAGAGGGGTTATCGCAATAAATGCTGTAAGGGGCTTCATTAATGGCGATGTGCAGTGGTAATAACTTTGCAGATCTTTGTCTGCTTATGTGGCTTGCCCTTCTCTTGCCATGTGTCTTGCTGTCATTGGTTCTTATTGCTACGTGGGACTTCAGCAATGCTGGGCTTTAGTATTTGAGTTATGTATTGGGTCCTAAATAGTGGACTATAATCTTTATGGGTTTACCGATGTCAGTAAAACCCATTTCACATTTTTTTAGTGTCTATTTTTAAAAATTCTGGTTTTGTTTGGAAGAGTTTTGGAATTATATTCTAACTCGTACTTTGCATATGGTATTTGGTTTTGACTTTCAAAAATTAATTCCACACTCACTTTTAAAAACTCAGTCAAAGGCGGAAAAATTTGAACTAACTGATCATCCCACCGGTCGTCTGGCTGGTTGACCGGAACAGTGCATTTTTTTTTATTACAATTGACACATGTTAATTTTTATATATTCCACAAAAAAATATTTTTAGAATTTAAAAAAAAATTATGAGCTTTAATAGAATTTTGAATAGTGTGTTTGGTTATGAGTTATAAGTTTTTGTATCAAATATCATATGTCACATAAAAAATTTTCTACTCAATTCAAAAAAATTTTCAAAACTCATTCACCAAACAAATTTTTCACACTTAAATTATAATTCCAAAACTCATAAACTCAAAATACAACTCTATTATCAAATCATATTTAGAAAAATTTTACCAAACGCAGCCTTTATGTTTTTAAGTACCATTCGTACAGAAAATTCTAAAAAATCTACATTCTAAAAAAATCTACATTTGGAGTGTGAAATGAGTTTTTGACTTTTTAACTTTGACATAGATTTTTTAATTTTTTTGACTTTTATGGGAAAAAAATAAAATAATTATGAGTTAAATATGATATTTTGTCATTTTAAATTAAAAAATCTATTTTACTTTTTTGTGACTAAAATAATCATAAAAAATAAAAAATAAAAATCCTAACATGCGAAACAAAGGTAAAAAAACATTTGGTTATTTTACAATTTTGTATATAACTTTTAGATTCGCCACGCATATTTATTAATAACATAGCCAGCATTATTGAATTAATTATCTAAAAATCTTATTTACAAATGTTATAATCTCTGTTTGGGTTGAATTAGATTTGAAATTATTTTAACCATAAAAAAAATAAAATAGACTTTTTAACTCAATAAAATAAAACATCACATCTAACTCATAATTATTATATTCTCTCTTACAAAAAGTCAAAAAAATCAAAAAAATCCTTTTCAAATCAAACTTTTTAGTCACAGACTAAACTAATTAAAAAGTTAAAAAACCAAAAAATCAATCAACTTCCTAAACGAACCCATAATAACTTAAGTCCTATTTTAAAATTTTGTGAACTAATAAATCTTATTTAATAAAATTAAGAATATTATCAATTTTTTTTCAATTTTTAAAATTAAAACTATTATCAATTTTACAATGTTTCAAATAATTGTCACTAATTGACAAAAAAACAAAGAATAAGATTAAATATTTTTACCATTTTACTTTTCAATTTGATTCAATTATCTAATAAAATTAAAAACATTATCAATTTTTTCATTTAATTTCTTTTTCAATTTTACATATCAATATTCTACCATTATCATCATGATCCTTTACAGACCCAAAATCTTCAAGTTTACAAATAAAATAAAATAAAGTAAATAATATTTTTTTTTTTTGCACATATATATATATATATTTTTTAATTTTTTCAATTTAAAAATTTATGTTTTAAAATTTTAAAAATCAAAATAAATATTAAATAATCATTTTTAAATAAATAATCATAAATAATAAACCATTATTATTTGAAGAATAATTTTAATTATTAAATAATAGACTTAAAATTTTAAATTTTTTTAATTAAAACTTAATCAAGTATAAATTCATAAATTAACACTTAAATTTTCCTAAATTATTTTAAGTGGCAGGGCTAATCCAATTACAGATGGAGGGGGAAAAAAAAATCATTGGGCATTATGGGAAAAGATAGTACAAATAAAAGAAAAATAACTCTTTTGTTAATAAAATTGAGACATGTCTATAGCATTGAAAACACATAGTAACAACCGAGTATGAACCATATAAAAACTAAAAAACCTACTGGCAGAATTTTTTTAATCATATTAAATCAACCCAACAAAATACAGAAAAAATGGTGACGTTAATTCAGCCAGATATCTTAACAGACTTAACCTCAGGCTTTTTCACTTTTTCTTTGGGCACAGTCACAGTTAGAACACCGTTCTCCATCGTAGCTTTGACCTGATCGACCTTCGCATTTTCAAGCAATCTGAAGCGGCGGAGGAACTTGCCGCTACTGCGCTCGACGCGGTGCCATTTGTCGTTCTTCTCCTCAAGCTCTTTGCTCCTCTCTCCGCTGATCTGCAAAACTCTTCGTTCTTCAACTTCCACCTTCACTTCTTCCTTCTTTAGCCCTGGAAGATTGGCTTTGAAGATGTGAGCCTCTGGAGTCTCTTTCCAATCAATGCGATTGTTGGCAAAGGCGGAGGTCTCGAGGGCGGAGATAGGGATGTTGGCGAGAGTAGTGGAGAAGGGGAAGCCCTCTAAGGGGTCCCAAATGTCAAGAGAGAATGGGTCGAAGATGTTGCTTCGTTGGCCTCCGAAGATTCTTAGAATCATCGCCATTTCTGATAGTTGTTTTTCTTCAAGTGAAGAATCAGGAATGGAGATTGAGAAGATTGATTATATCGGAACTTTGTATGCTTGGATTGAGTTCGATCTTGTTTTCGATTAAAGAATGGAGGAGGAGCAAGGGATTTACATAGGAGGAAGAGGATGAGTCTGGTAATTTCTAGAGAAGAGTTCTCTGTAACTTTCTACAACCTTCCACAACTAGTCTTTCTTCTGATTTATGTAACCAATTGCAAAAACATAGGGCCCACCTTATCTCTATTTAAACGAGTATACTTCATGCCCGTTGATGTTGATGTATTCTCAAGCCCAAATTAAAAAGGAGAAAACTCTCTCTCTCTCTCTCTTCCTCTCTCTCTCTCAATAGGGAAAAAAAATATTTCTAAAAAGAAAAACCTTAAAAAGTTTCACAATTTAGAAAGTTCATTCAACCTCAAAAAGAATAGAAAAAGAAAAAGTGCCAAACAACATGCTTGGCTAAGTCTCACAATGAGTTCGGATCTTTGATCACCCTTTCCTGCGATCTTTTCTACTGCGCATTAAAACGACGTCATTTTGTTATTTTTTTTTCCACCTCTTATTTTTCAGCCCCTTTTGGTTGTGCCCTAGCCCCTCTGATAAAGATGAATAGAGTTAGAGATGAACAGAGCTAAACAGATCGAACAGGAGATGCGACGAACACGAGGGTAAGAGACGAAGATAGAGAGGCGACGGACGAACACACATTTGGTTTGACGAGGTTCATTTTATCTATCTCTCTCTCTCTCTCTCTCTCTCTCTCTCTTTTCCCTTCTTCAATGATTAATCCATAGAGAGCCTTCAAACTACCAAATTTTGTTGACTTTTGTGAAATTATGACTGTTGGGTTGAGTTGAGTCAGTTATTCCAGAGGTTTAGAAGCATAATTTTGTGAACATATATATACACATTTGGCTGAAGTGAAATTTGTGGGCTGTTATTGTGAATATATATATACATTTTGTGAACATATATCTACACATTTGGTTTACATTTTATGTGTTGATTTTTGTGGGCTGTTATTGTGAAATTTTGTTAATTTGTGAAATTTATTCTGTTAAGGTTTGTTAATTCTATCCATTTTTTCATTGAATGGAATGAGTTGAGTTGAGTTGAGTTGAGTTGAGTCGAGTCAGGCATTCCAGAGGTTGTCATTCCACAGGTTGAGAAGGATATTCTTACTCGACATTCTTACTCATTTCTATATTTTCCTTCTTCCCATAGATTTCCAGATAGAAGATATTACTTATTGGGAAATTTTTGAAAAAAAATGTCCAGAGAGAAGATATGAAATACCTACATTTCTATACCCATTACGAATGGTTTAAGTACTTAGAGCTCACCTGGCTGGCTCATACCTTTGCAGAATTGTTTGAATGTAGCACACAAGTGCTTGTAATACATAGCCCAAAAATATTTAAGTACTTAGAGCTCTAGTTGATTTGAATTTAAAGAAACATAACTTTGTAAACAGATGTATAAAAATACAATTTGAGGCAATTCGACAAGAGACTGATGGCTGATATAGAGGCTGGAAATCCAGTTGGAACATAAAGACTAGAATCAATGTGATGCAAAATGGAACCAGAATTTCAAAACTTTGTAAACAGATGTATGAAACCAGAATTTCAAAATTTTGGATTTCCGGTGCCTTGAACTTAGGTATTTGCCATTCATATGTGATGTAAAATGGAGTCAGAATCTAAATAAATACATCTATTTGGAACATAGTGACTAGAATCAATCGAGTTTAGCTTCTCCAAAGGAGTCAGAATCTAAATAAAAATAGAGTCATCCTGTAGACGTCCCCGAACGTCCCGGGAGGGAATCCCGTTTTGTTCATTGGGGCTCACTACAGTTCGGACTCAAATTGTTACGGTTCTTAATTTGATCTCACAATGTGCAATGTGAGATTGATAAATTACCAAAGAGTCCAAATCCGGCAAATCATTTTTTGAAAAACAGATTTTTAGAAAGAAGTGCCAAACATGGACTGTTTTGCCAGATACAGAGTCGCTGCCTAAATATTTATTTTGGGGGAATTTAGGAAACCCTGACTCGTTGCCTAAGGCCATGTGTCCGTCATCACCAAAGTTGCCTCGACTCGGGAACTTGGGTACGATTGGGGAAGGTCAGCTATGAGCACCCCCGCTCGCCCGATCAAAGATCAGCCTCTACTAACCGTGATATCGATTTTTTGAAAACATTATGTGCTCTTATTCTGGTTTATTAGCCTAGAATTACTACGTGATGCACATAACATACAAGTATAGACTGGATTGCCTAAGTTGGAACAAAGCATCGCACATTCGTTTGTTTTGAAAATGGATTGAATTTTGCTACTCGCAAGTAGGCTAAAACACGGGTTTCGACGAATTATTCCAACTCAAGCAACCCAACCTTCACCCACAGGCATTCAGGCAGTTATATCACATAAAACGTTAGCCTCATAGTAAGCATGCTATCATGGCAGGCAGTCACTCACACACATGCAAGGATGCTAAAGCATAAGCACTCACCGAGTACTCCGAGCCAAAACAGAAACTAGTTAGTAATCAATGCATGATCCCAGTTCATGTTAAGATGGCTAACGCAACACATGCAATATGCAACTAAGATAGGCTCAGCTATTCTAAGATGGCATGTGAGATGCACAGATAACATGTATTCAACTCGGAATTGAAATACAATGCAGTTAGTATGATGCACCGAGCCCGGTGCATGCAAGACAAATGAGTGAATGCAAACATGCGAGCATAAGTATGCTAATTGAAACGTGCCCTAATCTAACCATCATAAGTTGGTAAATAAAAGGGAGAAAGACGTGGGGTTGGAAGACATACATCACACACACACACACACACACTTATTACAACATTGCCCTCGCTCGGAGGGTTCGAATAAATAATACAAACCAAATAAATAATTAACTACTCTAGCTAATTAAATATTACAAGACTTCTAATTAATTACAGGAGGAAGGTGGTCGTAGCCCAGCTCGGAATGATGGGATGATGCATGCTCGATTTGCCTCGCTCGGAAACCCGTTGCCATGCCACAGTTGCCTTTGTTTACACTGCCCTCCACCTCTGAAGACTGCACAAGTCCCAAGGTTGGTTCTGGAACACTCCCTGAACACTGTGAGATGTTACCGGCCAAAAGAGATGGTCACCGGCTATGGAAAAGTGGTCATCGACCAGTTGTGAGGCTCTCGGCCAACGATGCATGGCCGGCCGGCACTGAATGTGGTCGGTCGGCCATTTTTTCCTGCAGAACCTTGTTTGACAGCAGCAGAGGACAGACAAGGCATGGTAATACATTTTTAAAGCAAATGTTTGCACAACCACCCTCCCCATCATGTTATGGACTCAAGGGAGTGTGGCCTTCGGTCCTCGGACCATCAATCACGCATTTCGATGCATGATGGCCCGAGAAGTCAAAGTGTGCAATTTTAATGTCAAAAGAAATGTACACAAAACAAACAAGATGCCTCCAACCTCTATCATGGTTTGATCAAGAGGCAAGAGATGCATGATATGCTATGCAACCTGAGCATGTGAGCTAAGTATGCAACATGAACATGTGGACAGACATGCAAACAGGCAAGCATGTGACAATATTCAAACAATGAGCATGCAAGACATGATGCAACCAAAGCATGCAAACATGAAGCAATGTAACAACATTTTAGCAACATGCAAAAGATAGACTTAAACTAATATGGACAAGCCTTAGCCATGTCTAAATCAATGGCCATATGAGATGAGAACAAGGCCCAAGATTCATGCAAACATGCACAATGCAAGGGCTCCAAGCCTAAGGCTCAAAATGCAACTTTCCAAGAGTAATGCAAGGATGAAACATGGCATACAATGGCATACTTTCTAGCTCTGAAATGGCATACTAAATGATTCCAAAATGACTCCGAAGTATGCAAACACTCATGCTATGCATGCTAGAAGGCTCAAACACCAAAGACTAGTGAAGTGCATTACACTATAGTCATGCAAAGCTATGTTCAAATGATGAAACCAACCCCAAACAGACCTTATGCAGCCCTAAAACAGTGGCAAAATGATATGAGATGGTGGCTCGAAATGCATTTAAATGAAGCTCATGCAAAGGCTCATAAATGGGGCACACAAGCACAACTCTCAAACACATTTAAAGCATGGAAAATAGGGGAGTATGGCACAAGTATAAGCTCTGAAATATCATACACAATGATACTAAAACATGCAAACACCTCGATATAAGCATGCAATAGGCTTTAAAACTCACAGCTAAGCATGACTATTACACTACAAGCATGCATGACAAGCACCAATCGACCAAGAGGCCTAAAAACAGAGCTAAGGTGGCCCAAAATATGAACAAAACATGTTTGGAATATGGCCAAAACATGCTAGAATAGAGGGCCAAAACAACATGCAACATAGGCTAGTAAGCATGGATTACACTACATGTATATGAAGCATTCAAGGGGCCACTAAACCAACAAAAAAAAGATTCATGGCATGCCAAAATATGACCAAATACCCACTGAAATGTGTCCAATACATGCTAGAATGAGGTGCTTCTTTGGAAGGCCATGCAAGGGGTTGTTCTACACATGCAAGAAGGACATCTAACATGGCAAAACCAACTCTAGAAAGGGGTTATGCAGGCCCTAAAACTCACTGAAAAAGGCCTAAAACATGCTCAAGAAGTGTACAAATATAGGCCCCTTTGGAAGGCCAAATATGCTAGTAAACAAGACAACAAAGGAGAGGATCACCCCTCTCCTTATTAGGACCTCAAAACACCATCCCTATCATTGAAATCCCTTTGGATTTCAGTGGTGAGAGGGCCAATACAAGGTGGTCCTGAAGCTCACAAAAAAGGCACAAAAATGAGGCTAAACAAGGCCTAAGAGGGGGTAAACAACCCCAAACACAAAAGTGATCTTAAACAAACTTCAAAAGCATGAAAAAATAGAACTTTTATTAGTTATAAGTTAAGCTCAAAACAACATGCAAGATAGGCTAAAAGTCTATGCAAAAATGAGGAATAAAGAGGGTGTTTCTCACCCTTGATGCACAGCTGCGAAACCAGCAGGTTCTTGGACCAAAAACCAGTACCTTAGCCTCTAAAAATGGCCTCCAAGATGCTTAGGTTGATGATGGAGGTGTTAGGCTAAGAGTTGGTGT